AAGCCTATTTCCTCTTCGGGAGCGAATCAGCGAGTCTCCAATGAGACTTGGGTGTACCTTACCGAATGGGGTATTTGTCATGGGGTTGACACTGTATGGTACATACAGCTGTACATGTTATTTCATGGTCCCCGTGCAATGGAAGATGCCCGGTATATACCGTACCGACACCGTACGGACTGCATACCTGGGGATGCGTCAACCCGGCCTGGCTCGTACGAGTCCAGGACACGCTGCCCGTCGTCGTTCCGGAACAGCCCTTTTCTTGGTCCATACCACTAACTCTGCCGCAGAGGCCAAAGCACAAACCATTCCGGCACAAGGGGTTCTTGCCAAACCCACGTGGACTTGTCAGATACGAGCCGTTGCGACTCGATTACCGCACCGTACGCTGCTCGGTCTGGTATTCTGGGTTTGGGATATGGTATGGGCACTGACAGGTATGGTATTTACTTGCCCTTTCTCTCTACGGTGTAGGTATTTGTCTCAGGAAGTTCCATGTAGGAGGGAGGGCTCAGGGAGGTTTCTTTTTGGCCCCCTCCTTCTTTCTCTTCCTTTGGTGCTAGTTGGCCATCCCCGTTTTCTGGACACAACGGTTTTTGGCAGGTAGAAATCAGATTGAATGGATGGTACACCGTACGGGTAGTACGGAGACCTCGTATGCGTTTCATGGCGCTGACCCTTCGCTTCTTGTCGCTTCTACTGCCTGGTTGATACTAATCTTGGGACCCGAACTTCACCGACACTGCCTAAGAATTTCGATCGATCTATTCTGTACTCCGTAGGTAGGTAGTTAACTACGGAGGATTTGGTTGAAACGGACGCTAGTTATTAGAGTATTTTTATTTTTATTATTATTCTATGGTTTTTTATCTATGAAAGCCCATGTCAATCGAGACTAGAATTTGGACCCTCGCACTTCTTATCCTTTTTCTATTGACCTGTTCTATCCTGCGAATGGCACGGAGTATGTAGTAAGAATGTAGGAGTACAGGACGAATGCCTTCAGGTTCGATTCCTGACTTACGTACCTATCTGATGCAGAAGGATTCTCTTTTCTTTTTCTTTTTTTCTTATTCAGACTCGCGCAATCAGATCCATCGATCTATCTATCTACCTTCCACGGTGTATACATTCGTTCTTACCCCTGAAAAATCCGCCCCCCTCCCCGTGCAGTAAGTACGTGCAGTCGATCACGACTCCAGATAAGGCTATAAACAGGCAAATACAAATACATCCCTGCTTGCTCTTACGGAGTACTTGTTGCTCCACTGACTTTTTTTTTCGGGGTCCACTCGGGCTTCGGAGAGGTGCAGTCACCTTGTCCTGTAGAGTATATACTTGCTACCTGATCTGCCGGGGTTTAAGAACTTGGCTTTTGGTGGAGGTGTATATGGTGTTTATTGGAGGGCGGCATTTAGGCATGATCGGACTACTGTGGGAGGTACATGTACATAGTCCAGTATAGTACATCGGGGTACACGCCCGGGAGGGGAGCTAGTTGGGTATCTACTACTAGGGCTGGCGGGCGGAGGCGGCTAGATGGCTGGCTGCATTTCATCTAATTGAAATTTTTTTGGCCTGTCTTGCGTCAATCTATCTGGTTCGGAGTACTCCGTACCTAACCTACTGGACGGGGTGAGGCCACAGAATTTACGTGTGTGTGATGTGAATGAGTGCTGAGCGCTGAGCCTTGCTAACTAATGCAAGTTATTGGAAGATTAACTGCATAGTGAGCTATAACTACACAATACTCCGTACGGTGTACAGTACGCATAGTTTAACCTCGGGGTGGAGGATAAACCTCGGTACGAGAAGTACCGAGCTTGTATGTATATTTTCTTTTTTCTATATTGTTTTTTTGTTATGATTTGCACAGCTGTACGATGTATATAGGCTCGCTAATATATCTGAATTGGTTTTTGTTTTGTTTGCCCACTCGGTTTATGTTATGTATGTATCTGTTGCATCTTGAGATCAGATCCAATTATCCGATGTAAGCACTACGGAGTCCATCTTCGAACATAGTCATACACATAGTACGGAGTAAGGCAGCTGGCACTAATGAAATAACGGAGCTTCTTCACCTACCGTAGGTCTAAGGGGATCTCCATCCGTAAAACGCCATGGAAAATCATGGATGTGAATCATCTGTAGTTTCTTTTTCTTTTTTGGCCCCCGTACCCCTCCTAAGGGGACAAAAGTACCTACCTAGCTTCTAACCTACGGACTTGCACTTGGCTTGGGGAATGGAGAATGGGGGATAGAGAAGAGAATGGGGTGAGGAACAGGATCGATCTAACATTCTAAATAGTCTTTTCCCTTTCCGTTTAAGGCCTGGTATTCCAGGTATCTGGCGACATTTTCTCACACCTGTCGTTGTCGTCATTGATCTAGCCTTGGATCGATCCCGGTCTTCCTTGTCGTTAAGACCATATCCCTGCCTCTTGCTTACAATAGCTTTTGGTCGGATGCCGAGTCGGGTCGAGTCGATTCTCTCCATCTCTCCCTCCCTCTCTCTCTTCCTACCTGACTAGTCTGTTTCGTCAGGCTAAATAGTCCTCGGTGCTTGTACTAAAACAGGGATTAGCTTACTAGACCGGACTAGTCTAGTTAAGGGGATACAAATCCCACGAGATCCGGAGAAGAATGGTCGAAACCAAACCGGAGGGCCAAAAGATATTTGAAAATAGAAAAAAATAGAAAAATAAAAAATAAAATCAATAAAAGAAAGCAAAAGAAAGCCAGCAAAAGTTATCCAGAAAATAATATAACGCACGCCTGAACAGGCACAGACCTGAGCGGTGGCAACAAAAAACCATAGGGACCATTACCTAGTAGATACTCCGTAGATAGATCAATCAATGTCGAATGCTTTATTTATTAAAACTATTATCTCAGCAACTGCGCCACATTCCTTTTGTCGTGTGAGATAAAAAAAAAAAAAAAAAACCAAGGATCGAGGTTAATTGATTCGTTCTCTGTCTCCCCGCCCCTCTTTCTTCTGGCCCTCTTACATTCAGGCGATGAGGGGAGCTGGGAACGGAATCAGTCCGGGGTTCGAAGTCCGTCTATTGGATTGGACTGGTCACAGGGGGCAAAAAGGCTGAGGGAAAGAGGGATAGGGCAAGAAAGGGAATGGACAGGGAAGAGGGGAAAGACCAACAAAAGGAGGAGGGGAAAAACTTGACGCTGTGAATCCTGACTCGACATGATGCTATGAAACCCTCCTTTCTTGCTCCGAAGTAAAAGCCAACCAAAGTCCGAAGAAAAGGATTAAAAGAAAAAGAAAAAGAAAAAGAAAAAGAAAACAAACCATCCGGCTCAACAAACGGACAACGGGCTTCCTCTTCCTTGTCCGAGCGATTTCAAACCCTGCCGACCAGACAAGGCCAGGACCAGGCACTGCATTGGAAATCCGTCCTCTCCCCCTCCTTCTCCTCTCTTTTGTTTCTTTTTCTGGTGGGCTGGGTTATCCAGCAGCCCGTCGTCATCCCCTCCTTTCTTTTTTCTTTTCTCTCTTTATCAATCAATCTTGAACCTGGTGTTCATGGGGAATAGGAGGAATTGGGGTGGACAGGCGCCTTATGCGCTGGATTTCCTGTCCTTGCGGCTTATTCTTTTTTGGGGGGGACGCTGTGCGTGTTCTGGTGTTGTGTAAACTGGCGTTGTCACAGTCACTGTCTTGAAGAAAATGGACTCTGCCGGGGCCCCAGAGAACAGGGTAGTTAGCTGGCAGACGAGTAATAGTGTAGACGGCTAGGCTATGGCTAGTGAGGATTTAGCTGTGATTTCTACCAGAGGTCCGATAATTAGTCCTATCGGTGCTATTTACTTGTTGGATGTACATATACATGTACTTCTCTAGCACCGTCCTGACGCCCTCGTTCAAGGTACTGTACATATACTGGACACGTGCTGATGACGGACCTTCCTTCCTCGAATCTTGCTTGTATATACGAACCTAACGAGACAAATGCAAACAAACTCGACTACCTGGGCCTGCAACGCTTCTATAACATTCGAAATACAACTTAGACTACTTCTATTCGATGAATGTCCTATTCAGAATGCGAAAAGAACTCAACAGCATACATCCTACCCCAGAGAACCGAAACCACCTATGATGCTACAAAGGGACAACAACAAGCCATGGCCGACCCTACTCTGGTCATTTACATCTAAGCAAAGAATTAGGAGTCGAACCGGAAACAATAAACCATCATGACCATGGCCATGACCATACCTATGCCCATAAACCTGTTCTTCTAGATCAAAAGACACTTCAACAAATAAGACAGTTCCTCGCCGAGATTTCAGCAGATTCAGATACTGTTGGGTATGGCTCATCTTGTCCTGACCCCTTCACAGGGCCTATCGACCCTGTGAATGCTGCCTATTTCTTCTCCTTGAATAAAGAAACCATGAGCGAGTATATCCAGCTAACCTCTATCGGATACTTCTCCAGGAAATCACACCGAATATCGAATACCTATTCTCCTTGACCATGGCTACAAGCACAAGAACGAGTGCTTCCTTCGCGGTATCAATATAGACTTCAGAGCTGGATGGAGATATGAGAAATGTTATAATTGAGGGCCAGATATAGCTGGCTCTAGGATCCAGTATTCGTTTCTCTTTCGAAGAGCGATGTGCTGTGAGGGAGAAAAATGTCTGATTGCTTTCAGCCTGAACATTCAGAGCAATTTCCCTGAATAAAAAGCGGCTATGAGGGAGGAAATGGGTGAAACTATCGGCGGGAAGGTAGGAATGGTTTACTAGCAGTTACTACCTCAGGAGATACTCCGCCCTCTATAGGATTCGACTTTGAATCGATGATATCCGGAATGAACAAATTCCATAAGTAATTGCTATCTAGTCTAATGCTAGAAAGAATATCATTCAATGCATGAATGTTCAACCAAACTAACAGCCTGCTACGGCTCCTGAATCGGATAGTAATGAAATCAGGGTGGGAGCAGAACATAGAGCCAAATCCATCAGTCGCGCATCTCACCTGGATAGAGCCCAAAGAAAATAACCTGAATGGTAATATCATCTCTGTGTGGCCTAGCCTCGGGCGCTCGCAGACTCATAAGAGTTTCGAAGACTTCCGATCTCCCACCGAGCACGTTCCTGGCTAGATGAGTCGCAACGTTGTCATCTTCTAGAGTAAAGGTCAGGGCATTGAAACGACAGAACCGCTCAATCCCGCCTTCCATTCCGGCGTTGGAAGTAGGTAGAGCTTCCATCGGGTGTCGGAGTATCCAGTGGCGTACACACTGCACGGCCTCGTAATTGGAGATCCTATCCCACAATCCGTCACTCGCAAGAATGAGAAAGTCCCCGTCCCGGACTGGCATAGTACGTATGTCAGGGTCTACCGTGAGATACGGCGGCGTGAGACTCCCCTGATTTAGTGGCTTCCCGAGAAATTGTTTGTAGCATCGCTCCAGTTGAACCATAGGCCACTTCAAGCAGTTGTCCCCAAACGAACGGGTCATTGCCAATCCCAAGATGCGGCCCGAGTTCTTATCGATGATTCCTGTTTCGTCTGGATGCTCGCCCACAATGCGATCCCACTCAACTTCGTTAAACCCATTGTGATCCTCAGAAAGAGCAAGGGTCTCCCAGTCGTCTTTGTTTTCCCTATAACGACCTAGAACTGCGCGAGAATCCCCAACAGAAGCTATACGCAGCAGGCATAGATTGGGATCATATATAGCGAGGAGAGCACATGAGCCTGAACAGGCGGGGGCAACGCGAGAGAATGCATGTGCCGTGCTCTCCCCCAGATCCTCTGCCACGTCCATTGCCTCGAGTGCTTCATTCGAGATCATGTTCTCCATCTGATGAAAAGCGCCCCGAATAGGTTCATCGAGGCTCGAGAAACCTCTGGTCATCCCTTCACTCAAAGTCTTCTTGATCTTGGAAACAACGCCAGGGATCAAGGCTCGACGCAATAGGACTGAAGTCGCCCATCCGCTATACAACAGCCAAACCTTAGCTGATTGAAAGAAGACCATTTGGTGAATAGAAACAAAGAGCAACTCACGCATGCCCATCATAAACACCCCAGAAATGCCAATCTTTGGGATCCCCCATGTCAATAATTTCGTGAACGAATTCGTCCTCAATAGGCTCATTGCTGCCGACTCTCACTGAATCCACTCGAGATACCGGCCCGAAGGTACCCTTTCTGGGATAGGCCCGTGTTTGTTCTTCATGTTTCAGTTTTGCACTCGCCTCTTCATGGTTCAAGGCTGGGTATATGCTGTCTATGATTTCCTCCCAATCTGGAAAGTCCGGTTGATTTGGTGGTTGATTGTTCGGGGTTGATTCATCTTCAGGCTGCGGAACTGTCTGACCCGGTTCTTCACTGGGTGGATCTGGTGGAGTTTGACGCTGGTTGTACACAATCAAGCCAGCGCCGATAAGTGCTAGAAGGACGAGATTTCGAGGCCATGTGTTTCTTGGGTCTGAGGACATCGGAGAATTAGGTGGAACGAATGGAAAAGGTTGGTTGTTAGTGGTGTGGAAGTGCCAGGGATCTGCGTATAATGGACGAGGATGCATGTTCGATGAGGATATACCATGAAAACTTAAAGCGCGATGTTAAAACAAAAGACAGACATTCATAATCATAATAACGGTTAGTTAGATATTGATGGACCAGTGAGGGAACATTGAAACGAGGGAACAGAGAAGTCGAGGATATACTCGATAGACAGAAAAGGCAGGAGTGAATTGCCAGAACTGGAATGCCCTGCTTCCGAATTGAACCCAAGCGGAGTATGGTTCGCGATACCTCATGTTTCCTTAAGATCCACAACTTAAATCTGGCCTTGGATTGTGGTGGATATAGGTTACTTGTCTTTATGTGGTTCGTTGATAGTCATCATCACAGCCGCTTTCTCATCACGTACCTCGAGCCCGAGACCTTCTACTCAGTCGTATCAACAAAGTAGGTCCGGTAGAACATGGATGTGGATGAAGATATGATGGCGAGTTGGATTGTAATAGATAGAAAGAATCCGAAGAACTTGCATTGATTTCATTGATTATAACTCAATGGCAAGGTTGAATCAATTTGGACTCGTGATCCTAGTGCTCTGCATGTCACCGGAAACCTGAGTTTTGATCTGTAAACTTGGGGATTCATTGAGGAGAGGAGTAAAGAGAAGAGAAGGCAGATACAAGGTCACATGTGAAAGTGTTAAGCAATCTGATCAGAGTGTTTGAAATTATTTTACGTCACGCAAATGCGATGGAAGAATGTTGTCAATTTGAGGCTTGCTAGGTTTTAGTAAATAGAACCAACGCGCAAGTTCTCCAAATCAACCGTAGAAAAATCTAAACTTTGACGAAGACGGGCATGGTGTCAATCGGGCAATCAACCTCGACTTCCTGTCCTCCCTCGTGGGATTTCTCTTCTCCCCAGAGCTTCCACGATGCGCCTTTAGGCAGATAAGCACTAATCTTGCGCTGTCCTGCTTCCAGTACTGGGACTACAAGATACTTGGAACCATACAGGTACTCGGTATCTACATCCCAGGCCTTCTTGTCCTCGGGGAATTCATAGAACAGGGTGCGGATCACTGGGGTGCCCTTCTCATGAGCCTCCTTCATGAGGCTTCTCGTGTAGTCTCGGAGCTCTTCACGGATGCCGATGTACTTCTTGCATATCTCGTACACCTCCTCTCCATAGGACCAGACTTCGTTGTTAGATCCTGAAGCGGTGGGCTGGCCTTCGGGTTTCGGCTCACGATCGCCATGCAAGCGCATCACTGGACAGAACGCACCCCATTGGAACCATCGGGTGAAGAGCTCCCGGAAAGCAGGGTCGTCCGGATTGCCTCCGTGGAAGCCGCCAATATCTGTAGTCCACCAGGGGATTCCGGCTAGACCCATGTTTAAGCCGGCGGATAGTTGATTGCGGTATGCGCCCCATGACGATGCAATGTCACCGCTCCACACGAGGGCCCCGTACTTCTGACTGCCCGCCCAGGCGGACCGGAGCAGGTTCACGATATTCTTTTGCCCTTCTGCGGTCATGCCTTCGTAGAAGCCTTTGGCGTACTCCTTGGGGAAGATGTTTCCAATCTGGAGGTTGCTGCCGGCATGGTAGCGGAAAATGTCAAAATCGTAGATGGAGTATTCAGGCTCGGCTTCATCCAGCCAGAACACCTTAATACCCTTCTCGTAGTAGTTCTTCTTAGCCTTTTCCCAGACATACTTGCGAGCTTCCGGATTGGTCGCGTCGAAATGTGTGATGTCTCCATCGCACTGCATCGCAATCCGTAACCCACGATCGTGTCGAATCAGAAGGCCGCGTTCCAGCATTTCGGGGAAATTCTCAGAGGCGTTCTCGACGGTAGGCCAGACGGACACCATGAGCTCAACGTGAGACTCCTTGAGCTCTTTCACCATGGCATCTGTAATATGGGAAGAAGTATAGGTTAGTTATGAACACGTTGGTTAACAGTCTAAGAATGACTTACCAGGATCAGGCCAGTACTTAGGGTCGAAGCTCCATTCTCCCTGGTGCTTCCAGTGAAAGAAGTCGATGACAATCAGATCCAGAGGAATATTTCTTTTCTTATATTCCCGTACGACGTCAAGAAGTTGCTCTTGATTCCAGTATCGGAGCTTGCACTGCCAAAAACCCAGGCCGTATTCAGGCATCATGGGAACATAACCAGTGACCTTACTGTATGCCTCTTCGATCTCAGCTGGGCTGTCTCCAGCCACCACCCAGTAATCCAGGGTTTTGGTCGAATAGGCCTCGAAACTCATGGTGTTGGTTCCGAAGACCGCCCGTCCAATACCGGGGTTGTTCCACAAGAAACCATAGCCCAGGGAAGAAAGCGCAAAAGGCACACTGGCTTGAGAGTTGCGGTGAGCCAGCTCGATATCCGACCCTTTGAGGTTCAGATTAGGTTGTTGGTATTGACCCATTCCGAATATCTTCTCCTTTGGATCCAACGATTCGAAACGCAGGGTAAGGTGAAAGTCTCCCCCCAAGATGGGCCGCAGCTCCCGTGCCTCGATCTCCAAGGCACTGCATTTCGGGTCCATCGGGTCGCGGCGATGACGGGCATATTCCTCCAAGAGCTTTTCCCCCTTGGAGTTGTAGATAATCAGCTTGCCACGCCGGGAGACAATGGCCTTGATCTTGCCGTTCGAGATACTTGCTTCCTTCCCCTCCGGCGTCTCGACCGCTGTCTGGTTTGCTGCGGGCTTCGTGGAAAGGGCCCAATCTTCATTTGGCATCGACGACAGCTTCGTTGCCCTAACACGGAGCGCATGCTCACCCCATGGTTGCACCCATAGAAGGTGGTCGTCAAAGCGGAAGACTAGTTTGTCACCTTCGACGTAGAGCATTGCGACAAGTGCGTGTGCGTGTGCGCGTGTGGAACAGAGATGTCACGGAGAGTTTGTCCTGAGTTCCAGGATTTCGGATTTGACAGAGGTTAATAACACTCTCGGTGGGACAATCAGAAAAGTAATATGCTTTCTGGGAGGTCGGGCAGTTAAGTCGCCAAAGAATCGCATGCGTCATTGCTTCCCCTCATCGTAGTCCGTCCAGCGCATCGCTTCAACCATGCAACGCGTGCATCCAGCAATGTGACAACAGGCTTATCCATACAGTATTACCAATTGGTTGACCCACGGGGTCCTCGACTTGGGATACAAAGAGCGCGGAAGTCAATTCTGTTGGATGAGCAAAAGCTGGAGTGGGGGCATCCTTTGTTTTTTTTAAGGATGCGTCGACACGAAAGAGCCAAGGAGAAATTCCACCGAGGAATGCTTTCAATTAACCGGCGGAAGCGCCGTTTCCGGGTTGGCAAGGATCTGTATAGGCTGATTAGGCTAAATGGAAATGACGAAGCGGGGAAAGTTTGGATAATCCTGGTCGACAATCAATAGGTGCAATCGTGCAGCTGTTCATCATGGGTTCAATTCATGATGGGCGGCGTACTCGTCTGGCCAAATACTAGCCACTCTCGCAGGAGATATCGATGGCATTTGAACCCTCAGAATATAGGGAAAAGTTTCCCAACCTTCTATCCCGTGTCCCGGTTAGAATCCTTCCAAGCCAGCTCGTGATGTCACTGAAACGCGGCCGTCGCACCCCATGATAGGACGGAGACCCGGATCCAAGCAAGATCTAAAAAAGCATAAAGTCTTGAGCCACTGAGAGGTCGTCCTGGCCATGAAATTCGAAGCTATCGGCAAAATCCAGGCTGGGCGATCTTGTATAACATCGGCGACAATGAGATGAAATGCGGGGTACAAACGATGACTCCAGAATGACCCTAGAGACTGATATGATGATCCGGGGTATTAGTGGCTTGATCGAGTCCAGTTTTAGGGATTGGATGAGAGGTGGTCTGGTCAGACGATGGCAGCGACAGTCGAGAGTTAAATATGCCGTGCCTCCCTCCAATTTGGGAGGTTTAGCTCTTGACCTCACTTGTGTCTAGACTAGCATCGAGTCCGATGATGAAGACCGACGAGATCCAGAAAGAGCAAACGGTTCACATCGAGCATTCGCTGCAGGCTGGCGAGAACAAAGACGCCCAACAAGCCTCGGCTGATGAGCATCAGGCCACATTTTGGGAGGCCCTCAAAAGCAATCGCAAGGCGGCACTATGGTCTGCAGCCATTTCCCTGACCATTATCATGGAGGGTTATGATGTCGGTGCGTACTCATGGTAGTCCAGCCCCGAGTATCCAGAATCCCCAATTAACAGATATCGTCAGGCCTCATCTACCAGTTCTTCTCCTATCCTGCGTTCCAACGTACATTCGGAGCATACCGTCCAGAGCAAGATGGCTACGAAGTCTCGGGGCCCTGGCAAGCTGGTCTCAGCAACGGTGCCAATGCCGGTATAGTAATTGGCGGCTTCTTGAATGGATACCTATCCACGCGATACGGATACAAAAGGGTCCTGCTAGGCTCACTCTTCATGATGAATTGGTTCATCTTCATTCTATTTTTCGCATCTTCGGCGCCGGTGCTCCTCGTAGGACAGGTCCTGTGCGGACTCACCTGGGGGGTGTTTGCCACGACAGGACCGGCCTATGCGTCGGAGGTATGCCCTCTCGCTCTGCGAGGGTATCTGACCTGCTATGTGAACCTTTGTTGGGCCATTGGCCAATTCATTGCCGCAGGTGTCCTGTATGGCCTACTCAAGATTGAAAACGCATGGTCCTACCGTATTGCATATGCACTGCAATGGATCTGGCCGGTCCCTCTGTTCATTATGGTCCTGTTTGCCCCGGAATCACCCTGGTGGCTAGCCCGGAATAACCGTTTGGACGATGTCTACAAATCGCTCTCGAAGCTCGACAACCGAGGCCACGAGTCGCACCAGAAGACGCTGGCTCAGATTCTGCACACTCTGGAGCTCGAGAAGAAGATGGAGGCCGGCTCAAACTACCTGGACTGTTTTCGGGGTATCGACCGGCGCCGAACCGAGATTGTCTGCATGACTTTTGCCGGTCAAGTCTTGTCGGGCTCGGCTTTTGCCTACACGCCCACCTACTTCTTTGTCCAGGCCGGAATCAGCACGGACAACGCCTACCAGATCGCCGTCGGTGGCACCGCCATTTCCTTCGTGGGAACGGTGATCTCGTGGTTCCTGCTCGGTCGCTTTGGTCGTCGCCAACTGTACGTGAGCGGCATCGCCACGTTGACTGGATTGCTGCTCATCATCGGTGTGATTGCTTCGGCATCCGAATCGAGCGGCGCGAAATGGGGACAAGCTGCTCTGTGTTTGGTGTGGCTTTTCACTTATTCCACCACCCTAGGGCCCATTACTTTCACGATCATCTCCGAGACGTCGTCCATTCAGCTGCGAGCCAAGTCCGTTTGCTTGTCGCGGAACGTCTACAACATCACGCAGATCATAGCGAACATCATCGAGCCGTACTTGATCAACCCGACCGAGGCTGATTTGAAGGGCAAGACGGCTTATTTTTGGTTCGGCACGGCGGCTTTGACCACGCTCTGGGCTTATTTCCGTCTTCCAGAGTGCGCCGGCAGGACTTACGATGAGCTCGACGTCATTTTTCATCAGAAGGTGCCGGCACGGAAGTTTGCCAAACATCAAGTCAACGTCTATGACACGGGTGTACTGCAGGATGAGTCCGTGGAGAAGGTTGTAGAAGACAAGGAGGGTGGAAAGTAAGGATTGTATTCTAGATAGTACCTAGATAGGTAACTAGCTAGTAGTTTAAGTTGTGTGTCAGAAACCATTCAGACCGACCGTAAGGCAACCTCCGCGGGCGGTGAAGGTTGCGGGACCTCCAGCAAGGCTTCCCCGAGAAGAGCTTCCCTCCGATCTCCGTCTTATTCTTCTCTCTCCTCGCCCAAGTCCCCTCTTCTCCTGATTCATATATCCTGCCACTCTCGCGAGTGATATCATTCCTTCATTTTTGCTCAATTCCGACCTCTTTTGTCATACCATCCCAATCCAAACCCCGTCCAGGTGAATCTCTCCGCATCGAAGAGCATAAACACTCTACAACCGACAAACCGACACCATGGACGCCTCCATGGACATGGACCTGGACCTGGACCTTGGTCCAATTCCTGAGCCCGAGCACGTTGACGCCGTGAGTGAATCTCACCATCTCGCTCACTTTCACCCTGCCGTTCTCTCACTCTAACTTCTCTGGCAATTTTCAGTATCCCGCGACCGCGGATGCCATGGCACAAGACGGAACAGCGGACCACCTAGCTGAAGACGCTCTATACGAGAAAGTACACGTCAGAGGAGTTGACGAATTGACCACGGAGAATATCAAACAATTCGCGACCACCCACTTCCCTGCCGAGGAGCCGAGCCGGGTCGAGTGGATTGACGATACGTCGGCGAACATTGTGTATTCCTCGTCAGAGATGGGTCTTCAGGCTCTGGCGGCCTTCACGCAAGTCGTCGAGGAAGAAGATGCAGCTCAGCCGGCCCTGCGCCTGCGGTCGGCGAAACTCCTATCCTCCCACCCCGATTCCGTCCTGCAGGTGCGGTCGGCCGTGAGGACCGATCGGAAACGACCCCGCGCGCATGAAGCCAGTCGCTTTTATCTTATGCACCCCGAGCACGATCCTCGCGAACGACTACGACGGGAGCTGGCGGACAGACGGCGTGAGGGGGGGGGAGATACCAGTGATGGCGATTATCGGAGGAGACGGTTTGATGGACGCGAGCTGCGGCGACGGAGGGATCGCGACGTGGACGAAGGCATCAGTGCCAATATGTACGACGATACGCGAGCGCCCAGCACCGATTATTCCGATGCGGATAGGGGCCGCGATGGGCGAGGACGCGGAGGACGCCGAGACTTGTTCGATGACGATGGAGGCCGTTCGTCTGGTCGTCTGCGCAACCGCAGTGCATCGCCGGGTCGAGACACTTTGATGGAGGGCGGATATCCGGACAAGGATCGATCGGGCTTACGCAGACGATTCCGAGAACGGTCCCCTCAGTCTAACCGCCACAACGAAGGCAAAGAACTCTTCCCATCCTCGAAGTCCTCCGGGGCCGCCACTAGTGATCCACATGCGCGAGAGCTATTCCCCAACAAACCGGCAACCAGCTATCTTAAGAAGGAGCTCTTTCCCAGCAAGGTCAGCAACCACCGTCGGTCCGATGCGATCGATGCGGCAGACGAGACGGCAGATCTGTTCTCGAGACGAATCTCTATTCCTCTTGTTGATGGGGCATACGACCAAGGGCATTCACAGCGCAATCGAAATGTGGAGCTTTTCCCCGAGTCGGGCTCAAGTGACGTGAACATTCGTGGAGCGGCTGGTCAGGATCAAGGCATGTCAATTCGAGGCTCAGCCAACAGTGGCCTCTCAATCAAAGGGCGGGGAGCCTCTGTGCGCGAGCTCTTCCCATCCAAATACAACAGCAGCAGCAGCAACAATAACGCCGGCAAGGAGCTCTTCTCCGAAAAGATCGATGGCCGAGGAGGACCCCGACGGAGGGCGGAGGACATGTTTAGTTGAGGATACTGAGAGGAATGAAGAAAACATACGTACAAGGAGAACAGCGATGTGCATGGAGATCTACCATAATTCTTGCTTGACTAGCCGGTGCTTTTTTTAAAAATTTTAGATAGGAGATGTGTCCCCATGACGCCATCCAGTTTGTGATACCAATCCCCTCTTTTCAAATAATTACTTTTTATATCATATCATAATTCATAGGCTCCGTGCATGAGCTACACGGGAGTTTTATATGGCATCCTCTTTTGCATCGACATCATTTTGTTCATTCGTAGAAACTTCCGTTGTCGTTAAGATACACTCACATCAGGAATCGGGCAGCGGTTAGTATATATATGCTCTCTCTCTAACTCCCCCCTCCGTCCTCGGCGCCCGCTGATTTCCAAATTTCAATTCCCCCCTCAACCAGCCACAATGCCGACCGATACACGAGACCCCTCGCTCGCCAGCATTCTTGTGGCTCGCTTTTTGCGAACAAATAATTATACCCAGACTCTCCGGGCATTCATTCAGGAAGCGGGACTCCCCGCCGATGCGGGACACGTCGGTCTGAAAAAAGATAACGACTCGAGCAGTTGGACCATCGAGGGTGTGATCGAAGAGAAACGTGTCTTTGATCAGAGTGTCAAGTCCGAGCGATACGGTGATAGCGACAAGGAGAATGATCTCTGGAGTACACCCGGTAAGCGATCATGCTGTGTTGCGATACAACCTGGGTTTCCTTTCAAAACTAATGTATCTAACCAGCACCGTCCTCACCGACTGTCGTCCAGATCCCAACATCTTCAAATGTGTTGGCCTGCTCTGTAGACACCTGGAAGTACGATGAGGATGAAAGCTCGCAATCTTCGTCGGCGTTGTCGTCTTACATAGTGGCCACCGGTGCGGACAGGCAACTTCATCTCATCGATACCGCGCCGGGCAATGACATCGTCAAGTCCTTTGCAGGCCACTCCGAGTCTCCTATTCTGTCCTACGTGTCTATCAGAAATGGAGAATATGCCCTTCTGACTAACATGTCCGGTCAGCTTCTTCTGCAACAAGGCACGGACATCCTCGACCGCAGAAAAGACCATACCAAATATGTCGTGAAAGTAGTCGCCTTCGAGGAAAAGGACGACAGTAGTGACGACCCGGAATCGTCAGGAAAAATTGTCTGGATCGCTACGGCGGGCTGGGACTCTAAAATCTTTCTCTATCATCTACACATCGACCCTACTGCTGAGTCTCGGCATCCAGTCCTCGGCGAACCCGTGGGCTATATCACTCTCCCGACGAACCCGGAGTCCATGCTCTTTGTCCGACATGCGGATTCTAAGGATTTGATCTTGCTCGTTGCCCGACGAGACTCGACGCATCTCTTTTACTATCAGGTACAGAGGTCGTCCTCTTCTACCCCTACTCCTGATTCCGCGGGCCCCTACGAATGCCGTCTTTTGGGCAAACAGAATCTCGCTCCGCACTCTAACGCCTGGGTCGCTTTCTCGCCGTCTTGTCTGGCGCTGAACCCATTGGACCCCGGACTGTTGGCCGTGGCGACTTCTACACTGCCGCACATGAAGGTCATCGTTGTCCGACTACTCTTCCCGTCCGTCGACAACATTGATATTGTCACTTCAGGACCCGTGACGGGTGGATCATCGGAGCCCGAGCCCGAGACGGCGACGACGCAAGCTACACAGGCGTTCGCGGCCCTGACGCTTCAGAACCGCGAGGACGCGGCAATCATGATCCAAGCGAATGCATTTGCGCCGCAGACGGCGTACTCGACGCCGCAGGTGGCCTGGCGGCCCGACGGCTCCGGGGTCTGGGTGAACGGAGATGACGGGGTGATTCGGGGGGTGGAGACGAAGACGGGGAAGGTGGTTACGATACTCAAGAATGGACATGAGATTGGGTGTAAGGTGAGGGCTATCTGGGCGGGTTGGGTGGATGTTCCTCGCGAGGGGGAGGTCGTGAGGGAGGAGTGGTTGGTTAGTGGAGGATTTGATAAACGGTTGGTGGTTTGGAAGGGAGAGGTGTAGTATGATAGTATCCAAACTATAGGGAAGAGGGCATTCGATTAAGCGTCTTATATAACGTCATGTTGATATTGCGTATCATGCTTTTGCGATTCAACTCAAAACCAGACGAATTCTCTACGACAAGATATACTGTGAAATTTCAAAACCATCAAATATGAATTCATTTCTAAAGCGATTGGTGATTACGAAATGTAGCCCCCCGTCCATGCACCCTCACGCCACGGGAAAAAGAGGGAGGGTGTTTGGTAATTGGGGGGCATTCGATCTTGGCACGTTAAGAAAATCCTTCAGCAAGCGCGCATGAGAATATGGCGCGAAGCTGTACACACATATGCCTGAGGTAAGGGGATGGATGGAGTACATCCGAAATCACGAAATCCCGAGAGAATCCGAAAGCCGAGAACAACAAATCAAAAAAAAAAAAAAATCTACTTGACCGCGGAACAAGAGAAAATCGAGACAGAGCGTCCATGGCCATGTCGTGGAATCGAGTCAAATTGCTTTATTTAACAACCGTCGCGCGGAACCAGCCAGGTTTGTTCCGACATGACGTTTATGGGTTCATCGCACGTTTCAAATCACCAACTCAAATTGCTCCCGTTTTTCATTTTTCAATTTGGTATTAGTTGATTTATGCCAGCTCGCGCTTGCCCTGGTTCCGCTCCTTCTATAGAATTTGTTAGCCATCTGTTTTCCCTACCGCTATTCCTTATCTTCTCCGTGACTATTCTCGGGGCCGTCGGGAGAAGATCGGAGGGAATGTTGTTCAACGTACCAGCGCCTTCATGGTGCCGTGCAGAGCGTGTCTGTGGTTGCGGCGGAACTTGGGGTCAACACCCTTGAGGGAGGGGTAACGGTTGGTCTTAGGCTTCTTGATACTGTTGAGCAAAGAATATTTATCAGCCTTCAGTTCTTTTCTCTCAATGTTGATCCATCTGTCGTCCGCGGAGAAACCTCAAAGAGTCGTTGAAAAGCTGGTAAAAATCTCGATCTCGGTATCATCCCCCAACATTCAACGCCGCAATTTGTGTTCCTTCCCGGCTAGACATTTGAAGTCGCAAAGAGTAATCGACTGGTACTAACCCGTTACGGTGAGCCTTCTGGCTGTTGTGGTGCTGAGACGCGTTCTTGGACTCTGTAAAAAAGAAGATAAGTCAGTGGCTCTGGAGAAGCGTGGTCAAGACTGCCATGGTTGCGAGATAAATCCCCGACCGAAATTTTGAAGCATTCGAGAGAATTCCGGCGGCTGGAATAACAGGGGACTAGCACGTACTGGCCATCTTGTCGGATTTGTCGCAACTGGGAGACGGTTGACGATGAGTTGGCGGGTGAGGTTATCCGAGAACTTAGCAGAAGGCCGGAGCCCGGGCGACTTGGACTAGGGCTTCCCGCTTTTGTGTGGGATTTCGCTTATCGACTGCGCCTCGCGTCATTGGCCCGTGTGGCTTGACCCGACGCTGCAGGTTGCAACAGTCTCTGTTACGTCCTACAAAGTACAAAGACTAATAATAATAGTCTAGGGTATCTCCTTACATCTGACATCATTGCGATATGGAAGAAATGGAATTGATGGCCTTGACCCCATTTGATTTCTGGAGCAACCATTCCCTGCCCATGTCCAATTGATTTGTGTTCTGTCTTTGAAGGCCCTAACTATCCCGTGATCGCTGACTAACAATTGTGGCTTGCCCTGCGAAGACCCAGATTCCGTCCAAAGAACAATCAAGGGGTAAGAAGTGGAGAAATGGTTGAATAAAGAAAAAACCGCCTTTCTCCTCGAGAATCCCGTCTTAGTGTCATCAGAATACAAATTCAGTTATTATTCCGACATGATGGTGGCGTAAGGCTAAGGGACAGAAGCTAACGACTGTCACGTGATATCAAATGGGGAACTCGTTTCTGCTGTGAAATGTCGACGATTGACTTGATGATTACCTATGACCTACCTAGGCGCTATATTTCCATTACCTCAATTTCCTAATTGAATCGATGCCAACTGTATATGAAGTCGAAGTACAGGCGTTGAGCCAGCAATCGCGAGACCAAAGACTTCTTGCGGGAACCAAGTTGTGCCGTAGAATTAGTGTTCAACAGAATGTAGAATGTTCAAATGCATAAACAATTTCCCACCAAGAAGGAGTGCTGGAATAGATTGTTGTTGAACAGTTCTCGTTCAAGTTCTCAAGTCCAAGTCCCAGTGCCAGTTCCGTGCCGGTCCCGCCACGTGACCGGCCGAGCCGCTAGGGAACAACCGGCATCCGACTTCGACCTTTGCACCTCAACCCAGGTTCACAGAGGGATACCATCACCACCTTCTCCCGTCCATCCATTGCAAGATGAGCTCTCTCCGCTTTGCTCGCTCTGCCTTCAGGGCTCGTCCCTCCGCCTTCCGCGTTCCTCTTCAGCGCAGAGGTTACGCCGAGGCTGTGTCGGACAAGATCAAGCTTTCCCTGACCCTTCCTCACCAGGTATGATTCCGAGGTCACCGATCCTCCTCCCTTCCTCGCGCGCTCTCTTTGATGTCAATGACTAACAAACAACCTTCTACTTAGACTATCTTCAAGTCGACCGGCGTGTACGTGCCTCCGATCTCTACTTCACCGACACCGTGACGGCGGCCTTGACCGTTCTTTATTCCCGCCCGTACTTACGATCCTTTTTCCCAAATTTAGTGTCCAGGTCAACATCCCCGCCGAGTCCGGAGAGATGGGTGTCCTCGCCAACCACGTTCCCTCCATCGAGCAGCTCAAGCCCGGCCTCGTCGAGGTCGTTGAGGAGGGCGGTGCCAACAAGAAGTTCTTCCGTACGTCCGACCCGCGTTTGATACCCGCGCAGAATTGAACCGCGATGGCTGGCTCTTTCCTATTCAGTACAGAACACAACTGACCAGGGGAATGACCTCATGATTTTAGTGTCTGGTGGTTTCGCCGTCGTTCAGCCCGACTCTCAGCTGAGCATCAACGCCGTCGAGGGATTCCCTCTGGAGGAGTTCAGCGCCGACGTAAGTATCCGGGACCGACCGCATTGCGACGACCAATTTGCTGATCGAAAACCTTGCAACTACAGAACGTCAAGTCTCAGATCACCGAGGCCCAGAAGATTGCCAGCGGCAGCGGCAGCGAGCAGGATATTGCTGAGGCCAAGATTGAGCTGGAGGTAAGTGACACTGGGGAAGAGGAGCCGAGTTTTCTATGACATTAACTAATTTGTTCACCAGGTGTTGGAGAGCCTGCAAGCTGTCCTCAAATAGATACCTTATGTACATATCCACTCGCGAACTCAATTCTGAATGTGTAGAATTATAACAATTCTCTGGAATGTCTCTCTTATCTATCATTTCCAACCATTGCCTTGCATCCTGAAGGCATGCGTGTATCTAATGAACCAACTGAAGCACCCCGGACTTGCCTATTAAGCAGATGACGGATAACGCCTTCCTCACGCAGGGCCGTCCCGGCTGCGAGTCACTCATCTTCTCTCAGGTAACACGTCTGTTCACCTTGTTTCTTCCATATACGTCCCATTATTGTCATCACCAACTCTGCTAGCTCTATATCATTTGACGAGGCCGTATCATTACCTTCGAATCCCTCGTTTTTCATTCCAATCCACAGTCACCATTCTCACCATTCTCTTTAACCAAATCATCTCAAAGTACCCAGCAAGATGTCTTCCTCCGAATTACGCTCGTCTGAAGATCAGGAACCATCGCCCACAGAGAGTTTTATATCATTACAAGAAACTGAACCACCGAAAGCCCCTCAAATTTCACGACTCCCGACAGAAGACATAACTGATCATTCATCTGGGCTTTTTACTCCCAGTAGTAATGCAACAAGTTCGGCACACCGCAGACCCAGATCTAGGTTTCTGGAACGCCGTGACTTGGAGCTCATGGCCGAGGAGATGGAAAAGGCGTATGGCCCCGGAATCATCTTCGAATCGCAGACCAGTCCTCCGAGCGATAAAACGCCACCTGATCCCTTTGAGCCGACATTTCCAGCACCCAGGAAACTTCTAGTAGACTCTGTGGAAGACTCACTCCTTGGGATTGGTGATGTGTTCGGCTCCATGGCTCACCGGAACAGGAAAAGGCCACTGAAATTAGAATCAACGACCATGGAGTCTTCAGTATCACTACTGGACGATTTAGCCAACAGCCCCCCTTGGCAGCTCCCTCCGTTGGAAACTGGTCGTGACATGCTCCAAGAGGAGCTTGATGATATACTAGCGCGTTGTCGACGCAGTGGGGGACCCAAACAAGGCGAGCTTGCTGGGACTGAAAGTATTTCTCTTCGCACTCTGCCTTCGCGTAAGGGTCCACGCCAACATGCTTCAGGAGGTAAGTTTTTGCTCATCAAAACTATACTTAGTCGCTGCTAATGGAAACCCTCGCGAAGGCGACAGCAAAGCAGGCTTTTCAGGTGGTCAAGGCCGGGCATACCCACCACAAGACGAAGACGAAGATCAGTCATGCGAGCCAGGTCCATCAGGTACCCGACGCCAGCCTCCACCATCAGGCGGAGACGAATTAGACCTGCCAGATGACAAAACCCGGCGAAATTCACCAAAAATCAAAGAGAAAGCAGACCAGCCCGACGAAGAAAGTCAAAAAAACCTCCTAACGGACGGAGAGAAGGTATCAGTTGAAGAAAAGCGGCCAGAATCGCTTGCGGCCAAAGAGGAAGTCGATAAACCAAAAGCAGAATGCCAGACAAGTCCACGAACGGATGAAGATGAAATCACTCCTGTCCCTCCTTCGGCTACTACTTCCTCCGACCCCAAAATCTCTGACATACCCTCTAATAAGCCCTTTGACAAAACCTTTGACGAAATTTTCGACCAGAATCCCCCTCCCCGCCCTGTGACCCGACGTGGATTCCGTGGGGCTATGAGAGATTGGCGCGACGATCTCAGACAGCACCGCCGGGTAGTTACTCGGTTCTTTCATAAAAGGCAGCCCGACGACTCGTCTGGTTCTGGGGGAAAACCACCTAAATTTAGGAAGAAAGGGAAAGAGGATGATAGCAAGGGTTCAGGAGCCGCAGCATGATGAATGGTTCAAGCTTACGGTGAAAGGTGACCTGGCTGTGGGAGGCTTGATTACTTGATTATGTTCCCCATTACATGTGTGTCGTTAAGTTTGGTTGGGCTCAACTACAACCCCAATGTCTTAGTTCTTTTTGCTGTCTCGTCTATCCAAATCGATCTTTTATTACTGAATTCGTACTTCCTGAAGAAGTTAGCGTTTGCCGGCGTGTGTGAGGTATCGGACTTGATTGGTAGATGTTGCTCTTACTTTGATATTCCGTGATGACTACGATCCACAAGTAGATTATCTGGCGTACAGGAAAGGGGAGGTCAGAGCTGCGATAAACGATTGTACCTGTATAGTACAAGTATAACTAGCTAAGAACCACTAGATAAAGCCGATTACATACATTCATAGATCGATAGATCAGCTACTTACAGACACTGAAGATTGATCTGACTCCGTCTTTTATCCACGTCCATCCATTCAGACCATCTAACCAGACAGGAGGAAAAAGCCAGACGAAACGTTAATCTTACAAGAGGGAGAAAGCGCAGAGAAGCCAATAAATAAATACAAAAAGAGGTCATCATTTGTTTTGTGGACAGATAGCTGGCGAAAAAAAAACAGGATAATATATAATCATATAAACCAACATATCAACACGGGCCAGTGAAAAAAACAAGAGATGGAAATTAAATAATAGGAATAGTTAATTCAGAACCAGAGCTATAACCAAGTAAACCCGATCAAGACTAACTAGCGTTGTCCGCGCCTTCGCTGTCTGGATTTCAGAATATGATATGTTTTGATATGTTCATTGATTGGACGCGCATATGTTATGTTATCATCAAGATCAATATTGAACATTGGAACATTGGAAACATTTTGGACATTTGAAGCATGAAACATGAACATGGGACGTGGTGGTGCATATGTTTTCAATTCATAGATCAAGGAAGGGCATGGGGGGGGGGAAGATCAACGCTTGCATTGGCAATTCATTACCGTTTCGTTCCATTCCATCGTGCTAAGTAAGGGCATGTAGTAGAAGAAAGGAAACAAGGGACAGGGGGGAAACATAACATCAGAAGAAAACATGACCGAAGTAGATAGAGAACAGTCGTGACAAAGGGGGGGCATGAAAAAAGGATGATGGGGAAATTCGGGAATCAAAGATACCACAGGGAAGAAATCAAGTGGGGTTCTATACAGGTTGCGTTGCGAAATTGCAATAGCAGGGAAGAGATGGAAAGGCTTGGGAGCTCGAAAGACCCTAGATGGTGGACGTCAGATGGCTCATCATCAAGTGAATTCAACACTGTGCTGCCTGTCCTGTCGGGCGCGGGCTCGCTCCGCTCGTCGTCGTCTTCGATTGTTCGCATAGTCGCCACTGGCTTCCGTACCGGTGTATGTGCCGGGTGAGGTTATACTCCCTGCACCATAGGGCATACCTGCTCCGGCTGCAGGCGGAGGTGGCGGAGGAGGGGCCATATGGCTCATGTTTGAGGGCGGCGGTGCGTAGGAGGCTGGGGGCATAGTTCCGGATGGAACGGCTGCAGCTGCGGCTGCATGTTCTCGTCGCATCTGCTCTTGTTGTTCACGCTCTAATTCCTCGACTCGACGCCATCGGTCATAGCTTCCCTCGCCCCCGGATAAGGAGCTGTTACTACCAGCGCGACGGCGGGAGTTGCGTCGCTCTCTGCGTCGTGCTTCACGGTTAGCGGCAGCTTCCTCCTCCGTTAATCTCCGTAGAGTGACGTGGCGCCCATCGTCGTGCATCTTCACTTTGACGGATACCGGTGGAGAGTCCACGCTGTCATCTCTGCGTCTGCTGCTACTGCGGCGACGGCGATGGCTGGACGGGCCGGCAAGGGCCGACCCTGCGGCCGCACCGGCTGCAACTTCAGAAGGAGTGGGCCGTGACGGATCATGTGCTGGGAGTTCCGAGGTCAGTTGAGTTGGAGGCACAGGTGGCATATCTGAGTGCGCTCCATCAACTGGTCCAGAGGCGGCAGGGCCTCCAGTAAGAGCAGACTCTCCAAGTAGCGGACCATGAGAGGGACCACGTGGAGGGCGTGTCATGTCGGATGACAAGTCAGTAGCGGTAAATGAGTCAGCTCGTCGTCGTGGATAATAGCCATCGCCAGTGTATCGACGTTTACTGTTTGCGCGTTGGAGGCGCTCGTCTTCCATCTCTTGACGACGGATTTCTTCCATACGGCGTTGGTCCGGGTCACCCTTCCGGCGGTTAAACATATTCTTAAGGGCTGCTAATGCGCCTGCACCAAAGAAAGCATTGCGAGCACCATGAGAAGGTCTAGGCTCGTTGCCAGAGAGGTAAGTCGACTCATAATAGTATGAAGAACCTGGACTTTGCGGTCTGCTTCCCGGTCTGCTTGGTGGCCGGCTAGGAGGGCGATTGAGAGGGTTCTGATGGCTTGGTGCTGGTCTTCGTCCATCTTCCAACCGACTCAAGCTGTCTTCTGTCATGCTGTCCGTTCGATTATGGGCAGGGCGATATCGTCCAGATTCGCGATCACTCTCTTTGTTGCGCCTCCTGTCGAATAGCTTTTTGGCGAGAAGAGCACCGCCTCCAATGGCACCTATTTTTAGGAACTTATCAGCCCATCCACCACGACGTGATCCCTCGTCAGAGTACTTTTCCTCCGTGTAGGATGCGTGTGAGTCGTCGTATCCGTGATCCCTGCCTCTGCTTCTCGAGCGCCTCCGGAAGAGGGAGGCCAACCCAGCCCCGGCGGCTCCCGCCGAGGCCATACGACCAAAACTGTTGTGACGGCGATCGTCGGGACCAGGAGGACCAGAAACATAACTATGTCGACCATCATATTCGGTTCCTCCCGGGTGGTAACCTTCCGTGTCATACAGGTACGATAGGACGAAGAACGCTGCCAATAGCGCAAACACGGCGATCGAGTATAGGATGAACAAGGACTTCGGGGATCCCCACAGAGTGAGACCTAACGGAATCTGGACAAGTCCCAGGATGGCAAGCGCACGACCAATCCATCGGTGGACCTAGCATTGGGTTAAGGTTAGCCTTTTTGGAACAATGCCCGGAAAAAACAAACAACCAGCGCAAAACTCACGACGAGCTTGAAAGGAACGTGATAACGCTGCCTCTTGCTTTCTATTTTGTGGACTAGGTAACCCCACAGAACTTGGAATATGACCATCACGTAGATTGCGAGCCCAATGCCGTGGTGTGGGTTCGACAGACTTCTCTTGGGACCGACAGCAAACCAACCTAGGACAAAGACGACAGTACTCAATAAGAGGGTCAAGACCTGGCACCAGACATGTAACTTGAAGGCCCAGAACGGACTCCAGCGGGAGAAATATCGAATGGTGAGGATTGACATGGGCACCAGGCCCAGGAACACGATTGTTGCGATTACGCCGTGAGCGATTACCAGGGTCCGGTATTGCGGCATTTCTCGAAATCGATTTCCCATTCCTATAGTCCGTGTAAGAGCCCGAAATCAACAGTTGAAGCAACACCAATATACCCACCATTATAGCGCATGGTATCAAAATTGAGTCCCATCAAATTTGGCAAAAGGAATGTGTCGCGCCCGTTGTCCCATGTCCCATCTCCGACATGCAAGGTGTTCGAGGCATACGTGCTGCTCCCGGGGGCAGTGAGATCCGAGTTGGACGACATTATTCCCGAAATTCCTCAACGATGTTCCTATCCAGCGACGACGATCAATATGCGTTCCTCCGACGGCGATTTCAAGACACTGGAATGTCGGGAAGGCCGGAGGAGATCTAACAGATCCCCCACTCCGGAGAATGCACCATGCGCAGAAAAGGAAAGGCGATCGAAAGTCGTCGCGATCGGATGCTGAGGGGGAACTTGGTTCAGCGCAAACCACGGATAACGGGATTGAATATCGTCGGGGTAGTTGAGATGCGATCAGAAACTCGTTGGTGGAGTGTTGTTTATGGTCAGATGCGAATGAAGCTGACGACGGAGTAGTATGGACAGAGCGACGCAAGGGTGGGGGAGATCGATCGAGATCGAATGACGGTTGTCCAGGGTGAACCAGGACAGAGATCGGAAGAAGTCACAACAGAGAGATAGAGTAACAGAGTCACAGAAACACCAAATCACTAAGGCACAAAATCCACCGAGGGAGCTGCAGAGGCCTGGAAGCGTCTGGGGGGACGACGAGCCGAGAGGCATCAACGGTTTGCCGTTTGGGGTTTAGCGTGCCAGCACATATCCCGGACAACCAGCCGCTGACTCAGCGTGGCTGACCGCTGACCGCCTGCCGTTCGGGGCCCTATCGCGTGCTCTATCTTATCAGTTGCCGATCCACGGGGAGGACCCCTTGCCGCCCTACGTTCATCCTCTCTCTCGTCTTCATCATCTTCATCATCGAAGGTCTCTTTCCCTTCATTCATATCCTCGGTAGTCATGGCCTCCCAGCTAGAAATCTTCGTGAAGGCGCTATCTCGGTACGTATCGAGCAACTCGGGAATCCGAATCGCGGAGTCTAGCCCGACTCTCTGGAACTATAACGTACTGACTAGGCTCCACGCAATGTAGTCTTCTAGGATGGATCTAGTATGTCTTCAATGAACATTGGCATTAATCAATAATCGGATCGGGACTAACATGATGTGTCTTAGCATGATTTGTTGGTCTGCGTCCTTCTATCCACAACCGATCAGCAATTTTCGACGGCGTGCAACGACCGGGCTGGCCATTGATTTCCCAACAATTAATGTCCTAGGGTTCATTTGCTATACAGCGTACACTTCGGCCTTCTTGTATTCGCCCGTAATTCGAGGCCAGTATGCCGCTCGTCATCCGCTTTCGGAAGAGCCAACTGTGCGCTTCAATGATTTTGCCTTTGCTCTCCATGCCGTCGTTTTAAGCTCCATTATCTATACCCAGTTCTGGCCCCAGATCTGGGGCTTCAAGGTTTCACGCTTCCAAAGGGTTAGCAAGCCAGTTGCTGGCATTTTCTGGGGGTCGATCGTTGCCGTTGGCATTGTTATCGCCATCGTTCTTGCTCGGAGTCCCGATCAGGGTTACGAACCCTCGACTTGGGCATGGATCGACGTAGTAAGCAGACATATCGACCTGCAAAGGTCTCTCCCGTTGCTGTCATCAAAGCTTCGCGCTAACTTAGACGTACCAACTGTCCTAGATATACACTCTTTCCTACGTGAAACTGATCATCACCATTGTGAAATATGTGCCTCAGGCGTGGGTCAACTATAAACGCAAATCCACAGACGGCTGGAGTATTGTCCAAATCCTCTTGGATCTGTCGGGAGGCGTGCTGTCCCTGATTCAGCTAGTGCTCGACTCCAGTTTCCAAAACGACTGGAGTGGAATCACGGGGAATCCGATCAAATTTCTCTTGTCAAATGTCACGATCGTCTTTGACTTGGTCTTCGTCGTTCAACATTACATTCTGTACAGGCAAAGAGACGAAGGCAAGGACAGTTGCGATATTCCAGACCTCATCACCCCTCTGTTGGCAGACCCAAACCAAGTGCCCAGAACCGCTAGCCACTAGATTATTATACCGAGATGGATAAACTGATCGGGATTTTGGAAACCTTTTTTGGGAGGTAATTTTTCTTGGATGCTCAGCTTGGATTTTGAACTGGAGCATGACCACCTAACGGTCGACGATGGAGATTGAATACCCGCCGCCCATAGATTAAACGAGCGAGGGGAAGCGCAAGGCTGAAAGTGGCTTCAGCTGAACTCGAGATCTCGACCGGGCGGCTTCCGCGCAACCGATCAGGAAAAAAATGCGATACTCCCGAAACTGCGTTCACACAATCGTATATGCTTTCATCGCTTGATACTTACAGTACATTCTCTACTGCACCTTACCCCTTTCCTGAACAGTTAGAGCAATAAACTACATGCGATAGCGACACCGCTCTTTCACAGCTACCATGGGGCTGAATGATTTTGCTTTTTGGCGCCTTGGCTTTTCCAACCTCTGCATTGCCCTGGGGTCACAAGTAAGCCAGCAAATGACGTCGGGAATTGAGCAACGACTGCAGAAGGGTGGCATATGAGGCTTATAAATCGCACGCCATGAAGCCACCAGACTGGCTGGATCTTGTGTCTCAGCCATGACCGACAGTGTCGATCGCTTATCTTCTTCGGGGCTAACAGGCTTGCGTGGGGGGCCTGACCGGACTCGCAGTCGGTGTACATAGGAAGTATTTTTTTTTCCAACGGTGAGAAGGGGATAGTGCGATGAGAAAGAGGGGCTTTTTTTCTAATTGATTTTCCTTTCGTCGATTTTAATTGCACCGTTGCCCCTACCCCCTTGTCTTGCATAACCCCCGTCAAGGAAATGCTAGTGCTGAGGCTCTGCTCCCGAGGATGTGGACAAACGGGATCACGTAGAACCCGGTCAGGTCATGATTGCCTCAGCTAGTCATCATTGATCGAATCCATTCGAAACGCCATTTTGGGCCTTGTCGAGGGACAACGTGACCGATGACTGTTTATAGGACTCTCTGCCATGCACAACGACGCCGTGTCCGCTCCGGCATCCCCGTGGCACTTCAGCCCTACCACGGTTTTGAGTATCGCGAGAAGAAAATATACGGTGGAACACCAGACTAGCAGCGAGGGCCCCCCGACAATAGCGGCGCACCAAGACACAGACCAACGCACCACCGTCTCAGTCCTGGGGTTTTCTGGTAATCCGAACGTCATCGGCTACCTGGGTATCCCCGTGCCCAATAAGACAGCGACGAAACTGTCCTTTAAGTCGCCCCTCAAACGCCGATTCATGCGATCATGATGTCTCAGCTATACATGAGGAACTCTGCAGACATCGTTCATTCGTCTATCCTTTGCCTGGGCTGCTGATCACGTCTTAAGCATCTGCTAGAAAACGTGACGAAGCTGAAGATCCTTCAGTTTCACTCTTGCGAGGGAGGTACGCGATAGTGACGTTGAGCTTCCAGCCAAAATTCAAGGTGGAAAAAAGAATAATTAAAAAGGAACAAAAATCCGACCAGGCGCAGACCGCAGACGACCAAGAATAACTTCTGACAAGTGACTCAATGAGTGCTTATACACTCATTTGCTAGTCGTTGACCATCGAACACGAATCAGTTTCTAGAATTCTGCCTTTCCAGAGAACCCTGTCAATCGTCAGCTCAGAAGGGTTGCATAGCCACATCTGACATGGGGAAAGTCGTTTTAAAATCCTTCTATATTGAAGCCTCAATTGCTTATATGGCCGGAAACTCCCCAAACCGACGTGAAAGCAACAACTTGGAGACCAATAAAATTCTAACGCCTATAAATTTACTGCTACCTTTTTTGTACCATTCATGAGTGTCTTTGTCTCTCACTCTCATTTTCAACTCCCGATGGACTCATCTCGTTTGTCCGGAGGTCGCCCCGGGAGGCGATACGGGGAGACCCGACAGCAACAATCGCCGTCATTCGGTACCGCCTCATATACTGATTCCGCTTCTGCCTTCAACATGACTCCATCCCCAGCGGACAATAGCTTCATCCAACCATCTTCTGCAACCTACACAACCATACGATCCGTGCATACGCAACATCATCTCTACTCTTCGCCACCAGAATACGTTTCGCAGCGCTATACCGCCACCGACATGTCCTCGATGGATCAGTATCATCTCGCACGATCTCATCCTTCGAACGCGGGGCCAACCATGGACCAACTCTATCTTGCTGACCAGTCTCTCCACCAATACTCTCGATCCGACCTCGACCTCTCGTCCCATTCTACCCTCGAGAGCTCCGAATCCTTCAATGGCATGCTTCCCACCTCCTCCACCGCTGCTGCCTACTTCCCACTCACGGAGCAGTGGTATCCTCCTCTGCAGACTCAACCTCACCATCACCAACCATCCTATTACGTGACATCCGCTCCTTCATCCTCCACCTCATCACCCCATCTCCCTACCTCCCACCCTACCTCCCTCTTCCCCCCACCCGGCACCCCCTGCCCATCCTCTAGCTCCCGACTCTCACCCCTCTCCAGCGGAGGAGACCACCACCACTACCACTATATCACCGCCGGCGCCGGCGCCGGCGGCAGAGGCGGCAGCAGCAGCATCGCCAGCATGACCGACGACGACACGCAAGACACCAACACGCCAACCAGCCAACCGAGTCCCAGCCCCCGAGACCTCACCGAATACGGCATCCCCAATCCCGACGGCAGCTGGCGGTGCGCGTACCCCGGCTGCACGTCCCAAACGACATTCCGCCGCGGCTGCGATCTCCGGAAACACTTCAACCGACACCGCAAACACCTCTTCTGTCGGTACCCAGAGTGCGCGCAGTCCACGACTGGCGGCTTCTCGAGCAAAAAGGACCGAGATCGTCATGAGGCGAAACATAATCCGGGCATCTCGTGCGAGTGGCCGAATTGTCGACGCATGTTTAGTCGTGTGGATAATATGAAAGATCATGTGAGACGGGTTCATCGGAGGGATTTTTGATCTTGATCTTGATTTTTCTGATCTCTGGATTTTTCTTTTTTCCAATGCTGATTTTGAATTTTGCTGGTCTTTATTTGGATTGTTTTTTTCATTCTTTTTCATTCTTCCTTGTATCATGGCACATGTCTGTCCTCTTGTTTGTCTGTTTATTTGTTTTCGGCATGTTGCTTGTATACGATGTTGCAGATTGCAGATTGGCAATGACTGGATCTTTTCCTTCTCTGCTCTGTTCTTCTTATTTTATGATGCGGAATAAACCATGTATTATTAGAAACGAAACTTACACACGCAGGACTTGAAGAAGTTTCGCTTTTCTGTTTTTAAATAACATTTCATTCACATTCGGGACCGTGATTCATTCATATGTTAAGTCATCAATTTTTTGTTTTAGAAAAAGAATATAGATAGAAAGAAAATAAAGAAAAGAGAGAAAACCCCTCATATCGCTGGGAAATACCTTCGTGATTACACTGTGGGTTGCACAGTAAGCCATAGCTTGCTGCTATGCGTAATTAGCATCTGGCAAGGAAGCCCACAGAGAATGACGATAAACTAGAAAAAAGAAATGAAAAAAGCTCAACGCCCGTGTTTGTTAAAGATAAAAAGAGTCCTGTACTCCTATACAATTCCCACGCTGCATTATAACTGAGACCGGCGGCGTATATGCAAACATTGAACGAATGACGGAAAAAGAAAAAGAAAAACAATCAACAATGACTCTAGACATTTGGTATCACGGACTGAAATAAAATGAACAAGGTGAAAATCAACCAAAGAAGACGCATATAAGGTTGGGAATGAATGCAATAGTTCGTCATGCATATGCAGTGTACAATAAGGTGAGGGTAAAAAAAGAGTCTTCAAGGGGGACTATATGGAGTTCCCTGCTTTGAAAATGACCGCGTAATTCCCGATGGCTCTGAGAAAGTTACCTTTCACACGAAGATGTCCAGGTCAGTCATCAACGTAGCGATGCTACTGGACGCTTTGTCGGCGACGCCGACCGCGTACACTGCCTTCGGGCCTCTGAGAAAGCACTTGACGGAGTGCGGGGTCGTCCTTGTTTTTGTCAACATGATGGACGCGCACATGCCTGTTTTGTGTCAGTACAATCACATTGTCTGTCCATTCCTGGCGCGATAAGCATACCGTTGAAGATTGTCAGGTCGCGGATACTTATGTTGCTGATCTGGACAAAAGGGACACACGTAACCCGGTGAGTTGTGAACAAGGCCATGCCGTATCATCTCATTTTTACGCTTGAACCCCTTCCCACCCGGCCCGCGAGGACACCCTTCAACTGAACAGAAGTGAGGTCGTTCTTGTGAATGAACATTTGCATGGGAGCTGTGTTTTATCTAAGCATTCCGTTCTTGAGATTAGACCGGCAGCAAGAGTAACTTACTTCAACAAGTACTGCGTTTGAAACGGGGGAGCAGTACACCCCGGCCAGCCACATTTAAAAGTGCCGGTCGAGGTATGAGCACCGTTAGATTGCGTAGGAGGGTTGTATGGTGTCCTGTCGCATGTGCTGACAGGGGTTTGATCTGTAGGTGTTGGATAGCCTGTTGCCGGACTCTTGGCTGTCGAGTGTGAAACGTCGTATGGAGAAGTCAGGTAGGATATTTCTGATTTGAGAGATCGCCAATGGGAATTCTGCGATGCAGGTGAAGACACGGCCGATATATTCCCAGCAGTAGTACTCGCGGGTGACCAATGTGAATACGGACTGGGAGGAACTTGAGCACAAAAAGGTGTCGGGCGTTGCTGCTCCCAAACCGTCTCACTTCTAAGAGCAGGTGGCGATGCAGCTGTGACAGGAGGAAGAGAAAGGGGAGACGATCCGTTGGGGCGCCCGGGGGGTTCCTTTGACACACTAGGCAGTCCCAGGGCTGTCTGGATAGAGGGCAAGGTATGGTTGTTATCCGGTGAATGAAGAGCCGGTAAAAGATCATGTGCCGAGGCCTCCGATGCAGGTATTACAAACCTGCTTAAAGGGGGAAGTTGCTTCGCCTCCTGGGCGTAGGGACTTAATGATTTCTGGGGATATTGAGGGGACTCCGGTTCTCGTTTAAGAGAGCCATGATCTGGAGACAAAAGAGAAGGTATAACAAGTTTATTTTTGGGAGGACTGTCCGGAGCTGGAGGCCCTTCGTGGGGTTTAGAGGGCTCTGGGTCCGAAAGAAGATAAAGAGCAGATTTGGCCACATCAACCGGAAGATTTGGAGATTCGTCCGTAGCCGAGGACGGTTCCGGTCTGTTCAATATGTGTTTCGTTGGCAAGTCCAAATCATCTTCGCGCCGAAAATCCTCACTTAAGGGATGATTTCTTTCGAAAGCAGCAATGTCTGGTCGGTTCGGGTCTAAATGGCTGATCAGCACCGAATTACCCTCTGTTGTGCTGGGCTTGGAGGGTTGTAGCTGGTGCTTACGGGAACGATGAGATGTTCCCTCGTCTGCAGACTTTTTAGCAGTGTCGCTATCGGAGCCCTTCTGGAGAAAAGGAGGCGGTGAATCCTTGGTATCATAGTTGACTTTAGAAACCTCTAGCCCGGGGGAACCAGGGACGTCATCCTGATCGTAATAATCGTCCATAGAGGCCACGGCTTCGGACGCATCAGGCGCGCCACACCTTTCGACTTCTCTTGAGATTTGCCGTTCTCTGTCCGGGATGCTTCAGGTCACACAGACTCAAGTGCCGGTTTTACGTGAGACGAAAGGGAGGGGAATAGAAGAAATGAACAAATGAGAAAATCCAAGTGGGGCACGCCAGTCAGTGGTAGCCTCCAGAGGTCCTAGGAATCTAGTCAGTTTGTCTATTATATGACCAATTTTGAGGCGGGAGAGGGAATGAAACGAGGCCAATCAATGACGCTTGGGGGCGAGAAAAAAGATAACAAGAGGAAAAAGCACATAGGAAGGCAGATGACAGTAAATCGTGCAATCAAAGTAAGAAAAATTGTGACTCTTGCGACTATTGAAGCGCTTGAGCCGGGGGAGGGAAACGAGGATGAATCAGGGTAGATGCATGCATCATCGGTGGAGGTGGACCAGCCAGGCTCATGACTGGAACCCCGTTCCACTTCAAGTAAGGTACCACCCGACTACCGTTTTTTTGGGGGTTGAGGAAGGGGGAAAGAAGAAAAACGCCGTTGGCGAGGAAAGGTAAAAACAAGCACCAAGGAATAATGGGGGAAAAAATGAGGGAAGGAAAAGAACACTTCATGCAAATTCCAATGAAAGAGCAGGTAAGTGGAGAGAACCCGAGGCAAAGGAACGCTTACCTGCTAGATGGCATCAAGACACGGCGAACACCACCGGAACCAGGCACCAGCCGCACTTAGAAATGAGGCTCAGTCGGAGCCAATTCACACGCCGCGATCAAAGACGAACACGATGCGCCGACCGCATAAGACCCGAGGCCCAGAATCAAAGAAACGAAAATCAACCGAAAGGAGTGAGGCTCGGCGATATGTAAATAATAAGAATAGGAGCCAAATAGGACAAGGGAAAAGAAAGATAATAGAAATAAAATCAATAATAAAAAAAAATAAGGAGAGTGGGAATTTGAAAACGTGGAGGAACGGCAAGCGCGACTGCGACTACCAAAGCAGCGGCAGCGGCAAGAAGAATGGCTTGATGGGGGGAGGGCGAAAAAAACGGAAGAAATAATGACAGGAACTTAAGACGCAAGGCGGCTTCCGATGGGAAAAGTGGAGGAGAACAATAACACCAAGGTGGTCATAGAAAAGTCATAGTCTAGCGATGACCAACGCTCATAATAATCACAGGGTGAAGAGGACCGGCCAAGAGGAGTAAGAGTCAGTCCGAGGGCATGGATCGTAATTCGTCGTTCAGAGTCGGAGTCGGAGCATCAGTGATGGTCGAGTGTACTCCGTAGGTAGAGACGGCAGCTTGTTGGAGGCCGTAGGACCAGGAACTTGGCCGGGATAATAGTACGGAGTACCCAGGTCGTAACGGTAATAATAGAAAGAATTATAGGGACGGACAATGCGAGGCAGCGATCCCCGTTCCAAAAAAAAAAAAAAAAATTGAAAATGAAAATGAAACGGGGGAAAAATGAAAAAGTGGAAAAGAAGAAAAGATAATAAGAACCAACAACAAATAAACTGGTGAAGCAAGTAAGTAATCGAACAATCAATCAATCGGCCAGTTGAAGCTAACTATGACGCTTGGCAGGTGCAAAAGGTTAAGGTCAGACGGGGGAGCGGTCAGCAGGGAGGCTGCTAGCGATGGCAGAACCGAAGCAGCGAGAGGGAGAGTGGATTGGATGGATTATTAGCCTGGTCGGAAGGCCAGTAGGGCAGGATGCTGATTTCTGATTGAGGAGGGAATCCCAGCGACGCTCCACCACCGGCCCAGCTGGAAAGACGGAGTGGAGAACAATCAGAAAGCAAGCACTGTCAGTCGGATTCCGTCCGGCGAAAGGATGGCTGATGGGAACTGGGTTGATCGATTGATGATTTGACGGGCCTCTGAACACTGGCACGGTGCACAGAAAGTCGTAGCTCCTCCAGATTAATTTCGTGGTAGGAATCGTTTGGTTTGCCTATTTGGTGACTGCAACGGGAATCAGTTCATATTCCGCGATTGAGACAAATCAATGATAATCATGATAATTTTCTCAATATTTTGGGGGTGTTGGGATAAATTGAACCTTTTTGATTATTCACGAAAGGAAAATCGAGCTCAACGATAGGTAGACGTTCGCGGAGGGATGCGGAGGGTTGGAAGCTGACTCTAGAGACGCCACACTGCAGGCAGAAGACAAAGTGGGGGGAGGGAGGTAGAAAGAGGGAGAGAAAGAGAAAGAGAGGTGAAGGTGAGAGGCGAAGATGGAGGGAAAATCACGGGAGGCTCAACGGGAAGAAGGCATCCACCGCCATAGAAGATCAGGGGAGAAAGAACGGAGAAAAAATAAAAAAAAATAAAAAAAGGAAAAAAAGAGAGAGAGAGAGGGGAGGGAGAGGGAGGAGAGAGAGAGAGAGAGCAGGAAAGAGGGGAAAGGGAAGAGTAAAAGGGCAATTTGGGTACCCTACCAGGATGGTAACAAGAATAGAATAATAATAATAATAATAATAATTCATTCCGTATTTACTATTTACTATTTACTATTTACTATTTACTATTTACTACTTACTGACTGACTCTATTACGGAGTAGTTACTCGGGACCCTCAGGAAGAAGAATCATTTCCCTCCTCCATCCTCCATATCCACGAGGCCCGACAGAGCCAGACCTCCGCTAAACCCAAAATCACTTGAGGCTCCTACCTCCAGCGTCCGTGATTGGTCCGTGGCAGAGGGAAAAACGAGGAGGCTGAAGTGTTCATCTGCATCGAATCGCCGTGGAACTTTGCCTGTCCTCCGCTCTGTTCGGAGGCTGACCCTCCCTCTCCAGTCTCCTGTGAGGGTTCCCTCTCTTTTTTCTGGGATCTCTCCGGACTCTGGGGACCATTGCTCATACGCATTCCCTTTGCCGTCTCTTTTTCTGTTCTGTTCTGTTCTTCCCATTGCATCCCCTCTTTACTCCGGAGTAGTTCTGAATGTCCTGGATGAGTCAGCAGAGTAAGGCGACGAGGCTGCACTTCCTGACGATGACGACGATGATGATGAGATTCTCCAGTGGGCTGTGATTGCTGGATTGCCGGTAACTTCGGTAGCCTCACCGTTGGGTTGAACTCTCTTTTCTAATTTAGGAGCAAATATCCTAGGGGGCTCACGAGTCTCCTCCCCCCTACATGTCCACCCCCCTCCGTCCCCCTCGGACTACATTCACCTCCTAGTCGCACCGGCGTTGCATTGTCCGTCAGGATGCCAAAGAGGGCCTAGAAATTAATCACTGGGGAGGGAAATGAGGAATAAATGTAAAAAGAAAATAAAAAATCTACAACCCAACCACGTCACTCATCGTCCAACCAACCGCAAATCGTGCTAGTTAGGGTTTATTAAACTCTAGAGTACAAGGAAGAGTACAAGGTACGAGTACAAAAGGGCATGGGCATGGGTCTGGGTCTGGGACACGGCGGGGGTTTATGGCACGCAAGATAGAACAGAACAGAAGAAACCAAAAGAAAGAAAGAGAGAGAAAAAAAATGCGCAAATCCCGACCCGTGATCAAGGAGAAGACAACCCGTCATCTGCAATCGGTTGATATTTCCGGCCTTAAGATTTTCATAGCGTTCCAATGCATCGAACTTGAGTATCCGCACCGGAGTCGCGTTGTGATTGCGACCGGGGTCAGGAAAGCAGAGTCAATCGGCCCGGGCGGATTTGAGATCTCCGGAGCGAAAAAATGGGTAGGCCCCGTTCGACCAGGCGAAGGTCATGGAGTAGGACAGGATATTCAAGGAAGAATTCCTCCTCATCATGCGCCTTTAGGGTACAACAGACTACTGAGTATGCAGTGGACGGAGTAAGGGAGGGCAGGAGGAGTAATCCGTCAGAGTCAGTCATTTCCATGGAACCGCCCACAAGTCTGCAGGAGACGATCAGACTCAGTCAGAGAGAGAGAAGATGTGGCCCCACGTTCCCCTCTCGCGCTCGTCCTTCTCCACCACTTTCTTGCCCATCCGTTCTCCGTGCAACACTGCAACCTTTCCCAGTCCTTTCGTTGCACCACCGACCGTCGCTGGACGATCTTCAGGGCCTCGGTCAGTCCGTGTTGGATCTTCCCAGCCTCCGCTTTATAACCTAGGATCCTTCCCTCCGTCACTAACTAGTTGGCTCCCACGAGTTATATCATCATCACCCGCAATGGAAGCACAGAAAGACGGATGGTTACTGACTGACTGCTCCAGACCTGACGGACTCCGGCGTATAAAAAGTACTAGCGGCCGACACACGATACTAAAATGTGGATGCAGAACGGTCCCAAAGCTCTCCACATCCTGCTTACACCCTAATGTTTGCCCGGATCACTTCACCCGTTCACACTTCACGCCCAATATAATTAAATTTATGACCCCATGGCAGCGTGTTGCCCCCCCCCCTTCACCCTCCTTGCTGCAAGTGTGGATATTATTAAACCTAGCAGCCTGTATGCTGTAGAACATGGGTGTGTCCACTCTTGTCCAACCTCCGGAGGGGCTACAATTCTCTTGGCTTGAGATGGTTCTGTAACCCTTCACCCCCTCTTCTTCTTCATTGCCATCTTCTTCTTGTCTTTAGTTTTTGTTCCTTGTGTACGGTGCAAGTCTCCGTTCGACGCCAAAGTTGATGGTCGTTGCCCAAGCTTATCCTAATTCTATAGTTATATAATTATCCTCCGATCAGTCAGCCACCGTCCTGGTCAGTGATATGATCTTCATTCTAATTTGATTATCCTTCTGGTTTTACGCACACGATCGGAATCCCGCCGAAATTTAGATAGATTGGCAACTCGTCAACTAGAAGAATACGAAGATAGAAATGAAATCATAGCAAATAAATTCATACCGTAGAGGCTAAGATGCTAAGATGCTAAGATGACCCCGTAGAACCCCCTTCCGTGGATAGCCCTGTGGTCATTCCCCAATCCCCCCCCAAGGTAAGGTAGCAAGCGGCCCGCGCCGAAGACATCTTACCGTACCGAGCGCTCTACGGACGGGGAGTGGCACTATTTTAATTCATCATTAAATAATAAATATCAATCCTATGATATTCATCAAGTAACCATTAGTATTTCCCAGTCAATCACGCTATCGGCGGTACGGGAACAACAAGATGCTATGACATTATCTACAACAAAGCTAGCCTTCTTTCCAGTAAGCCGTAGGCTGATCATCATAATCACCTTCCATGCGCTGGTTGAAACTCGTTACCTTAGTTAACTCGTTCGACAGCCGTAAAACGCTAATAAGCCGCTAGGCTGCAGGGATCTCTTTTCTTTCCCCCCTCCTCCCTCCCTTCTTTGCGATCGGGCGACTTTCTTTGTTTTTTTCTTTCTTTTTTCTGGTGGTCTATTCCGTGACGATTATTGTCCTTTTTTTTGCTTTGCTTCGGTTTTTCTATTTATTTCTTTTCTTTTCTTGGCTTTTCGTGCCGGTCTCCCTCCACCTTTCTCTCGCCCTCGTTTGCTTGGATCTTCGTCCTTCGATTCGGGGGCCAGGGGCACCTCGGCACGTCGCGGGTCCTCCGTTATATGAATTGCATTAACTATTATTATATGAGCTGTGGAGTGTGGAAACTGGAAAGCCAAAGAATAGAGACCCCTAGTCTCCTACCCAGGTAGGTAGAACTAGGTACTCCGTAGAGTAGGTCGTCGAATCCTTCAAGTGCACGGCCCGAAAAAAAGGATCGTGTAAGGTTACTGCTAGGAGGGCCAAGATGGCCCTGTTAAAAAATTCTTCTCCCTTTAAATATGCATCTAATTACTATTTCCTACTGAGTATGTTTTCCATCTGTTGTAAGCAATAAGAAGAAAGAGTGGTAGGAGGCTCGGGGGGTCGGAAGATACAGAATACAGTCACAGACCCATGACCAGAACAATCAGCAAGAAAAGGGAAAAAAAAGCCTCATATGAGCCGCACCCAATTATCTTGTATTCAGGCGGCTCAATGCTGACACTGCGCTGGTGACCATTCACTGGTCCGGGCTCTTCCTAGTTGCATATTTCGGTGTCGTACGTCTATACGAGACATTTGCATCGCCACTATTAGTTAGACCTGTTTCTGTTTCGATTGCCTTCATTCCAAACGAGTCTGCCCTTACTTGGCTGGCCAAGGTAGGTAGGCAGTTGCTGGCTAGTTTTGGTACTTTTCGGGTCTCAACTGACTTTCTCTCTTGCTTCTTTCCCCTCAGTACTTTGGAACTTGCTAACTAACTTACTTACTTACATATTACATTCTCGGGAGCCCGGGCAAATTGGCCCCTCCCCCTTGCTAGTTGCTACCTAGTCATGACAACTGGCATGCTTACGTTGTATCGAATTTGGCCGTCTTCTGGCCCCGGCGCGGACAAAATTTGGAGCTCTTAATTTTTTTTTTTTTTTTTTTTTTTTTAAAAAAAAAAAATCTCATTTATGTGGTTGGCCCGGTTTCCGGTCCTGGCAAGTTGAAGACGCTAGGTAATTGACTTAATTTATTAGGATGATCAGGATGACACGGAGTAGCCGAAGATCCAAAGAGCCATATCCAGTCTCCACCGGGGCGGGAGTTCAACGGTTCAAGAAAATCCTGCGTCAATCGTGATGCTTGCCATCTTTAGTATGAAATTCGACGGTTACGGACGACGCTGAACCACTGAACAAGTAAAAAACTATAAAATCCTCACTCCACTTCACCCACTTCATCCTTATTCCTTCCATCCTCCTTTCCTTGAAAAGAAGAGTAAAAAATAAATGAAAAAAGGAACAAAGACAAGAGGAGGGGCCAAACGCAAACTATATCTTAGTGGCCTTTTACAATTTGCCTTTTTGGGGTAATGCGGCTTGCACTTATCAGACACGTTCCCACGCCCCTCAAAGCGAACGGCACGGTCTTTAAGATATATTCCTAAGTCCTAGCGCTATTAACCTGTCTCAGCGCATACCGAACTTTGATACCCTGAGACTTGGTGGATTTCTATTTCTACCATTGCAACCGCTGGCTTCACCCACGTCCTGTGTGAAATTCATCACTGGCATTGGCTGGAAATCAGAATATTCGACCTATATCGCATGCATCGGAAGTGGCCACATAAAGTTGCGACCACGTTTCGGAGACCCGACGGCAACGACAAACGCAACCAAGCCCCGTCGTCTTCCTCTGGCAGCATTGACCATGCTACCAGACTGCTGGATCCAGGAGCACCAATGACACCTCCATTCTAGATTCTCACACTAACTAAGCTTTCAGACACCTGGCTGCGACCTCTCTCTAGTCGCGACTGAAATATAACACATGTTTTTAGTAGCTTTCGTGGCCAATGTCCCTTTGCGGTCTCGCATCTGGCGCAAACACGTTTCACATGAACAACGTCTGAATTTGAGATCTTTCAATTGCGGCCCCTGTTTCAACAAAGGGCATATATGTCCTGTTTATGGATATGCGTCAGTTTGACCAAAGCGCTGATAAATAATCAATGGTTGTCTCATCCAACACCCGGAAGTTCGACCAGGCGAAGCCTCGTGACTCGAGGAGTCACCCAACAAACCTGAGAACACGCCTTGTGTTTGTCACGGGAAGCTCTTAGTGGGGTTTTTTGTTGTTATATGCTAAAGACATACTAGCATGGCTCTTCGGTCTCAACCGATTGGTTGCATCCTTCATGATATTGACTCGAGAGTCGAGGCATCGTGGGGTACTACGGCGTACACGGAGTACGTAGAATCCAGAGTATGGAGATAGATCCATAAACCAGCACTAGATAGGCATGGGGATTGGCTCCTCGGCCTCCAGCCGGATCCTGGTAGATCATCTAGACGTTTGTTGGGAGTGTTGGATATTGATTGGATACGGTCGATCTATCTGTGCTTTGTGGGTGTCTACTAGTATGGCATTGGCACCAACATGTCTGTGCGGTCGTTGGGTGGAGGCTCACTCTCATATCAATTGTGACTTGGGGTGTATGAAGCCGTCACACTGCCCTGGGCCATACTATCCTCGTACTATGAATGCCACGGGCTGGACTAGATCCATCGGCATCGGATCGGGGTTCTGTGGTGTGCGAGTTGTCCGTTTCGGTTTAGGAGTTCAAGCTGTTGGCGAGTTTATGGTGTGGATTTCGTGATCGAGGAATGACCTTAGTATACAAATATAGCAGAACAATCGAAGCAACAACTCATTAGATATCCGAATTTCGGCATATTCGGAGGTTGGATATGTGAGCCGTTGTTGTCCAGATGGCTTAATATCCACACGCTCACATATATTAATTTAGACAAACTCGACCCTACAACTTCTATCTACCAGTGAATAGCGAGGTTCGCCATGTCAAATGAGCTGGGTTATGAATAATTCAAGGTCACTCGATATCCACGATCGACTTCCATTATATTTCCTATTTAGGTTAAACTTGCGACAACCAACTATCCAGAACTATGACTCCTGAGTCTCCTGTTATCCAAATTCCGAGCATAAATTGACAAGGTAATGAAATAAATACTATTGAATCCTCAAGGGCCATCGTTGAATAAATGAGGGTAGCCCCAGCCCACTAAACGCGGGTGCGCGTCTCACCGCCAGACGCGTCTTCCCCTCCAGAAGAAAAAAAGTAAGGGCAAAAAAGCCCATTTTCAATTTACACCGCAATTCAATTCAATTCCTTCCTCCTTCTCTTCTATCTATTCTGCTCTACCCAATCCTCACTCGAGACATACCATGACCAAGGAGTCCACTCCCCCTCCCACCACCGCCGAATCCACTACTACTGCTGCTACTACTACGCATCAACCTCCCTCTCTCCCCGCCTCTCCCCTCGCCAAACGCACCAAACCTAACACCGACGACACCGACGCCACGAAAATGACCGTTCCTCCTACCGCCCAGCGTCTTCCTCCCCTTCTCGTCAAGAAGCTCACGGACACTGCCCGTGCCCCGACTCGTGGCTCTGCCTTCGCCGCCGGTTACGATCTCTACAGCGCCAAGGCCACCGTCATCCCCGCCAAGGGCAAAGCCACGGTCGACACGGGTCTGTCGATTGCCGTGCCGGAGGGAACCTGTAAGTTGTCCTGACAAATTGGCATTATATGTGTTTTGTTTGGGGGGCGAACCAAATTGAGAAGTGGTATCGGATGATATGATGGCTAATCAGAGCCGCTTTCCCTCGCCGATTTAGACGGCCGTGTTGCTCCCCGAAGCGGTCTCGCCGCAAAACATTTCATCGATACCGGTGCCGGCGTCATCGATGCGGACTATAGGGGCGAGGTGAAGGTGTTGCTATTTAACTTCTCGGATGTCGATTTTACGATCAACGAGGGGGATCGGATCGCGCAGTTGGTTTTGGAGAGGGTGAGTTTTTGTCGCTTTTCTTCTTTCCTTTCTACTGCCCTACCTGGCGCTTTTTGTTGCCTAGGGGGTGCGTCGAAGGGATATACTTGTCAGGATGAATGGGTTGGGCTAATACATTTTCCCCCTTCTAGATCTATACCCCTGAGGTTATGGTTGTGGAGGAGCTGGAGGAGAGCGTGCGTGGTGCTGGGGGTTTCGGAAGCACTGGTAACTAGATGGGAGTGTTGAATGGGAAAGAAACAAAGGAATACGGCAAATCAGAAAGATAAATGAGGATACATGAATGATTTTATGGCATGCTAAGACATTTGATTTTGGGACGGGTTGGCTGGCTATACACATTAAAATAATGACAACGTTCCACTGACTGGACATGAACTTGACTGGACTGAAAAACAAAGGCTATGGCTATGGCTATGGCTATGGCTCATCACACGTTTGATCGTCTATTTTAATGGTCTATACATCATTTACCAACTATACAAGCAGAGATGAAAGGACATGATATGACTGGAAGTTATCGAAATTGCGCCGGGAGATCTTCCGTCCTCCATTCCTGCACCTTGAACTCGACCACCGGAGCACGCAGGTATTGCACGTTCCGCACCAGTCGCACTTCAGCCGCCTTGGTGTGTCGTAGATGTTCCTGCTTCTGTTTTTCTTCCGCCCCAAGCTGCTCGTCGACCTGGCCGGCCGTGGCGAGCAGCTCGGCATTGCGCGCCTCCATGGTCTTCTCCAGCACGCTGTGCATGCTTGCTAGTACTTTCACGGTCGTCTGCGCGAGAGGAAGATCGGCCGGTTTGACGTCATCCGGCGAGACCCAGGACTTGGTCGTTCGTAATTCAGGGCCCGCGGCAAAGACCGCCTCCCGTAGCCGGGCGACGGTCAGAGCGGCGAACATGTCGCCCGTTCCTGAGAAGAAGCAGTCAAGGGCTGGGACGTCGACGCGGAAGAGTCGTGGCGAACCGTCGGATTTCGTGGTCGAGCCGATGACGGTCAGGTTGTTGGGGGATGGGGCGGCGGCTACTGATGGTGATTCGGGAAGCTTGGACAGTTGAACGGAAGTGATGATGATGTGGGGGATGTTGTAGGTCGCGTGGATGGCGGTGATGGCTTCGGCAAGGGTGCTGAGAGAGGTGATCTTGATTCCGGAGAGAACTCTGCAAGGTAGGATATCAATGGAAGAGCCGCAGAAAGCGGGTAGTAGCTCGCATGTTCGACTTACTCGGCCTCGAATTGATTGGGGAGAATCAAATCGGCATGCTGGATGGTTTTCTTGTAGGCTGGGACCACATCGTCATTGACGTAGAGGCGACCCAGATCCCCCATGACGGGATCCAACACTGGAAGTGCGGTTAATACGACAAGAATGGCGCCTAGGAGGGCCATTGAACCTACCCCAGAAGAATGAACCCGGTTTCTTCTCGGCCTTGCGCTGAAGATCCCGTCCAATGGCTCCGACGGCCTCGACGGCGGCGGCACTGGGCGTGTATCCCGACAGCATGACATCGAAGTCTGTCAGGTGGCTCTGGCATAAGCCCTCGTAGAGAGCAGTGATCTCATCGGCTGTGGCTCTGGTTCCCTTGAGTTGTCGGTAGCCAGCATGATTGCCTATCATGGAAAGACCGTTAGAGTGTTCGCACGTGCTGATAGATGCCGGCCAGGCGACAGGCGCGATGACTCACTGAAATGAACCGTGTTCAAGGGGGAGACATCGCAGCCCAGGGACTGCATAACAAGCGTTGCCATCTTATTGCCAACATAGCTGGAGTTTGGATCGGTTAGTTAGAAACTCAGAGCTTAGTATTTGGGGTTTGGAGGTCGTCGCAAGATTCATGTGCCAAATAAACCAGTCAGAGAACCCTGGGAAGAATAGAGGGGACGCTGTCTCAATATGGATAGCCGATTTGGGAACTGGGATCAGATGACATACCCATAGACCACCTATATGAAACCATCAGCCTATACTTCTGTGGCAGCTAAATGATAAGATCGGCTTGACTTACATGACTTGCGACAGCCAGGACCCTCGTCTCGGGGACCAATGTCTCTGCGAACATGACGTGTAGATTGCAAGGTACTATTGACAAGGCTGAGAAAGAGGAATTGAGGTGTAGGGCCAGGATATACAGGACGATGGACAACGAGGGGCAGCGACGGAGGTGATAGCAAATATCCGATAGCAGATCGAGGAGATCTTGGCTCGTTCGAGGTCGGATGAGATAAGCATACCCAAATAGGGTTTAGCGTCGCAATGGGACCGTGGGACCTCCGTTCATCTATTATTGGTTAGTAGGAACATAGTGGACCCGGGCGCTTCGGTTCGTTTTCTTGTCGTTCCTTTTCAACTTGCAACTTTCAACTTAATCTACTTTTTGCTCCGGCCTCTTTTTTTAGTCTTGGCTTCCTTGGTCTAGGTGCGGCCCCTCAACCTGTCCGAGCGTCCGTCATGCGATGGTCTCACACTCAGGTCCTTGCTGACGGCTGTCACTGTCATCTCCTTTTCTTGATCTCTTTAGTCTTTATGCTCTTTCTGACATACGAACTATGGCTGATACCTAGGTAGTGTCCCTCGTACTTCCTCGCCCGTCTCCTGCTAGCATGAATAATGAAAACACGACTAGTCCGACATGACTAGCAGCGAAGCTAGCGTGGCAACCAATCGCATCACTTCTAAGAATAAAATCCCAGCCCGAGGCTGCTTGGCCCGGTCCAGAACACTCTCGCTACCACCCAGCAAAGTCTCCCTGACTGGCTTGTCCGGATCTTTTCTCCCATGTTTATTTCCTGTACGGCCTCAGGTCTCTTTTCCTCTCTCAACTCTCTCCTCTGTATATACCACCCCCTTTCTTTCTTTTTCTCGCCCTCCCCGTCTCACTTTCGTGGTGCCTTTTCCTTGAGTTTTGAATGGACGCGTTATACACTCGTCCACACCACGTTTAGTTTCTCCCAACCACCGCTTATGCCCTCAAGCAAGGCAGTGATTTCGGCCATGCCCCTTCAATGATCGCTCTTTTCTTTCCTTCTTCTTAGACCTTCATTATTTTATATGCTATGCCATAGCGTGGCAACGTCGTTCTTTTATATTTCTACAGTTCATCATGATCACTTACATCCGAGCGTCGGCATCCCGACCGTCCAGTAGTTTACATGCTTCTCACCAGCGTCCTGTAATTTCCCGACTCCTTCTATGTCTATGGGCCTTTCTCGCGATTTCTTCCGTTGTTGCTGCGTCTGTTCTACCTCCAAACGCCCGATCGGAACTCACTGCTCGACGCTCTCTACCGTCTGTCGCATCTACAGATGGAGAGATTGCTCAGGATGATCCCGAAGATGTATCTCATCCACCTCAGGAACGTGCTCAATATGGTCACGTTATCCGCCGAGATTCCATCGTCGAACTTGATCCAAGTCTCCGTGAAAGGGCCGCATCGCTCCCGATCCTCGTCGCCCCGAATGATGATGCACCATCCAGACTGGTCGGACGGTCCGATAGCGACGACATGCCCCAGCCCTTCGACACCAGCACCAGAACCAACTTCTCGTCTAGCACCTGCGAGACATTCGTCAATGACTTTCTATCAAATTCCACGTTTACCAACTGTCATGCGATGTCCATGCTCCTGCGCGACTCCTACTCCTTCTTCAAAACCGTCCGCTCCGCCACGGCCACCTCGCACGTCCTAGACCTCTCCTGCAGCGTGGATGCCGATAAGTGCTCGTCGTACATGACCGACCTCGCCGGCCGTCTGCTGGAAAAAGATGCCTGCGGTGAAGACTACAAAGACGGGAGCTCTATCGTGACCGACGCCTACACTAATATGGTTGCCTACGAGCCCATTTATCGGGCGACCTGCCTCAAGAGTCCCAATACAACCGACTACTGCTTCGTTGACGCCGCCACCAACACCAACAACTCGGCCGACTACAACGTCTACTTCATGCCCTTTGACACCGCCCTCACCAACGCCCCATTTCCCACCTGCAACAAGTGTCTCCAGGCCACTATGGATGTTTTTGCCAAATTCGCTCAGAAGGACGGCCAGTTCCTCGCCCGCTCTTACATCCCCTCCGCCGAGGGCATCAACAGCAAATGCGGCTCCGACTTCGCAAATGTCAATATCACCGTGGGCGATGATAAGCTGCTCACGTCGGCTGCGTCGTGGACTATCGGTCATCCGGGTCCATCTGTACCATATATCGTTGCTTTGGGCATGGCTGTTGTCTATATTGGGTTGCTATAGCCCACGCCACCACCGTCACCTCTTATAAAATTCCGACATGCTTTCTGTATTCATTCCATCCAAGTCTCTTTCTCAATTGTTTAGACCGCTACAGATTCCCCCCGTGTTTTTATTTTTGTTTTGATTCCTTCTGCCATTTCTGCACCCCTTCTTTCTAACATTGCTTTTCTTTACTATTACTACCTCCTTTCCTTTCTTCGATGGGACCTAATCATCCTGGGTCATGGCTATTATTTACGGGTTACGACAGCGACTGGCTTTAGCTTTTTTCATCTTCATCCTTTAATCTTTCCCTATTGTTCTCGTCCTTGTCCTGTCTGTCTTTGCACTCTACACAGTACATACGCTACTTGCTCTATCTGATACTTCACTCGCTAGCTTTACTGTACTTTAATGTTTTATATTTAAATTTAATTTACACTATTCATCTTTCGGTTAACAGTTCTATCGTCTTGGTTTATGATATGCTTCTTTCAAGTTTTCTATGATCGTGACTGATCATTCATGTTTGGCTTCTTTGTGTGTTGCAAATTATGAACACAGAGTTGGTAATAAGGAAACAAGAAGAAAGAAAAAAAAAAGTAACAAATGACTCCGACCCGCAACGCCCTAAATAATGGCATTTCCTTAGCAAACAAGTAGCTCCGATTAACAAGGATCGCTTACTAGTCAACTTGACTTCAATAAAGGGGTGAGACGTACTGTGATGGTCAACATCGTTGAACCTCCCTAGGGAGTAGGTATGGACTATATAGATCATTGACGGCGAGCCCCACATATAACCAGCAAATGGGGTGATAGCTCAGTTGGGAGAGCGCACGACTGAAGATCCACTCAGTCAGTCAGATCATCTGGCAATCGTGAGGTCACCGGTTCAATCCCGGTTCATCCCATTACAGTTTTCTTTTTTTTGCTTTTGCAAAAAGCTACTAGCCAGTCGGGTTAGCTAGTAAATAGGTTGAATGCTCAAAGAGCGGTGTTAAGTATCTCAGGGGGGGGGGGGGGGGGGGGGGGGGGGGGGGGGGGGGGGGGGGGGGGGGGGGGGGGGGGGGGGGGGGGGGGGGGGG